CCCCCGGCCCCCCATGTAAGAACCTTGATCAAGTAAGGTATCTTGCGGGTGAGCTAAGGCACTCTTACCGCCCCAACACGTGGCAATGTGGCGTCCGACATCTGAAAAATCTCACCTCAGTGGTCTCACACCAAATCTCATCGGCGCATTTCTCACAACTCACTCACCGGTGTCGGACGTGAACATATCAAGGGTCTCATCAGATTTCACACACCCACCAGGAGGCAGAGAGCTCCTTTTCACCGGGGACTCACTCACACAGGGGCCCGGCCCGGCACTCGACGGGAATATAAACGACACCATGGAGCGCCACAAGAAGACCGTCTCCAAGATCGCCGCCGCCGTGCGGTCCTTCTTCGACCGCAAGGAGCCGTACCGCATCTTCCACGGCTCGACAAACAGCACCCGGCCCTTCCGCCGGGACCGCGTCGTCGACATCTCGGCCCTCGGCAACGTCCTCGAGGTCAACAAGGCCCGCCGCACCGCCCTTGTCGAGCCCAACGTCCCCATGGACCGCCTCATCGAGGGCACCCTCCGCCACGGCCTCATTCCCCCCGTCGTCATGGAGTTCCCCGGCATCACCGCCGGCGGCGGCTACGCTGGTACTGCTGGCGAGTCCTCAAGCTTCAAGCACGGCTTCTTCGACGACACCATCAACGAGGTTGAGCTTGTGCTCGCCAACGGCGAGGTCGTCCGCGCCAACCGTCAGGAGAGGGCCGACCTCTTCCATGGTGCCGCCGGCGCCGTCGGCACCCTCGGCGTCACCACCATGATTGAGCTGCAGCTCGTCGAGGCGAAGAAGTACGTCAAGACGACGTACCACCGCACGCATAGCGTCGCCGAGGCCGTCGAGACCGTCCAGGCCGAGACTCTCAACGCCGAGAACGACTACGTCGACGGCATCCTCTTCAGCAAGGACCATGGCGTCGTCATCACCGGCAAGCTGACGGACGAGATCCCCGAGGACCAGAAGCCGCAGACCTTCAGCGGCGCTTGGGACCCCTGGTTCTACCTGCACGTCAAGGACCGCACCCTCACAGCGGGCTCCGCCAACAGCGACGCAGCAACAGCGTCCGCGTCGGCGGGCCCCGCGGTCGACTTTGTTCCGTTGGCCGAGTACCTTTTCCGCTACGACCGCGCCGGCTTCTGGGTCGGCGCCGCCGCATTCGACTACTTCAAGTATGTGCCTTTTACGCGCTTCACGCGCTGGTTCCTCGACGATTTCCTGCACACGCGCATGCTCTACCGCGCTCTCCATGGCAGCGGCGAATCGGCGCGCTTTGTCGTCCAGGACCTCGCCCTGCCGTATAAGAACGCAGAGCGCTTCGTCGACTACACGGCCGACAACTTTAACATTTGGCCGCTGTGGCTCTGCCCCCTGAAGCAGACCGCCCCGCCGACATTCCATCCGCACACGGGCGAGGTCGAGACCCTACCCGCCGCCGCCGCCGCAGCAGCCACTGGAGCCGAGGGCAGTAGCGCCATAACAGCGCCAAAGCCGATGCTCAACATCGGCCTTTGGGGCTGGGGCCCCTCGGACCCGGACGAGTTCGTCTCCAAGAATCGTGCCCTCGAGCACAAGCTCCGCGAGCTCGGCGGCATGAAGTGGCTGTATGCGCACACGTACTACACCGAGGACGAGTTCTGGCAGGCCTACGACAAGAATTGGTACGACGGCCTGCGGCAAAAATACGGCGCCACGACGCTGCCGACCGTCTACAACAAGGTCAAGGTCGACGTCGAGGCCCGCAGGGAGGAGCTCAAGAGCTGGCGCAACGTCGTCAAGTCGAAGCCACCCATCGGCGGCCTGTACGGTATCTATAAGGCCATACAGAGCAAGGACTACCATCTGCACCGTCGGGCCGAGTGGAAATGGAAGGGTGATAAATGAGAACAGACTGTAAGAATAGACGTGAGCCGCATCATGGATGTGACTGGTGACCAGCACGTCGGGCGGAACTCATATTAGAAACGGCCGAGTATATTACCCATAGATTGTGAGAAGCGTGGCTTGTACTAGTAGTGTAGCATCATTAGCATCACGGCCAACCGCAAAGGGGGGGCTCCAGCATTTTGACATCAAGAACCGTCCAAAAAGCACAAAGAATCTAGGAGAAGCGTTGCATGACTGAGTTCATCTATTCTTCCAGCTTCATTCATCCCTGGGGACGCTCAAATACGCCTCTCTGGCCCAGTATATACAAATACCCCCCATTTGCGAGGTGCATTCCATGCGCCGTGTCCTACCTCACGCCAGAAGCTACTTCTGTCGTGGCCGGTCGCGCCTCTGTATTTCATCCTCTGATTAAACCACGTAGTACTGGCCATGCTCCTTCAGTTATCATGATGTCGCAAGATCTATGCAGCCGCCTCTATTTGTTTCGCAATTCCAAGATCAAAAAAGTGACCGTCGATCTCATGCCTTGATGCTGTAGGAACGCTGGAACTTGTCGTTGACCTTCTCCAGGTAGTATGTACCGGGGGTGATGGTGGAGGCGTCACCCTTGGGGGTGAAGTCCTTCTGAAGGTGGGCCTGGTGTCGGAGGTCGCAGAACTGTAGATTTATTGTCAGTAGCTTTCACTCATTTGCATTGCGCAGGGAGGTAGAAGAATTGCTCACAGCCTCGTAAGTCTCGGGGGCAAGCTTGGTACGGGCCTCGAGTCTGGCGGGAATGTCGAGAACCTTGGCGAGAGGGGTGACATCGCCTGTAATGCGGAAAGACAGGAAGCTAGCAGCCAGACCAGAGCCGTAACTGAAAACTCCAACGCGCTTGTCCTTGAGAGTGGCAGCGTCAACGTAGGAGAGCAAGCTGGCAATGCCTCCCCACACGCTACCGCAGTACATGTTGCCGAGAAGGGTGGCGACCTGGGCACCGGGAGCGACTCTCTCCTGATACTTCTTCTTGGTGAGACCCATGAAGGTCTTCTCGACGACCTTGTCGGTCAGCGACTTCTCGTAGTCCATGTCGCGGAGCTCAGGAGCGACCTCGGCAAAGACGGGTGAGTCGGCATCGGCGAGGTAGTCGTGGTAAAGCAGACGAGCGTACGACTTGGCAACGAGCTTACAGTTGGGGGCGTGGAAGGAGAAGTAGTCGAATCGGTCCAGGCTGGTCTTGGGGATCTTGGACTCTCCGTTGGTGGTGCCGTTACCGTTGGCGTGGCCATTGGCAGCCTTGGAGAGCTTGGCCTCGCGCTTGTTGTACTCACGGTAGGCGGCATCCAGAGCCTTGGTGTAGCAGGTCAGGGAATAGTGGCCATCGACGTAAGGGTACTCGCTGGTGAGGTCGGGCTTGTAGAAATCGTAGACGTGGGACATGTAGGTACCACGGAGACCGGGCTCCAGAACGACGGGAGCGTTGGGGCCAACGAGAATGGCGACAGCGCCAGCGCCTCCGGTGGGGCGGGCGTTACCCTTGGCGTAAAGGGCAATGTCACCAGCGACAACAATGGCATCACGGCCGTCCCAGGCGGAAGACTCAATCCAGTTGACAGAGTTGAGGAAGGCGTTGGTACCTCCGTAGCAGGCGTTCACGGTATCGACACCCTCGATGTTGGTGTTGTCACCGAACAGCTGCATGAGCACGGTCTTGACCGACTTGGACTTGTCCAGAAGGGTCTCAGTACCGACTTCGAGGCGACCAATCGAGTTGGTGTCAATGTTGTACTTCTTGATCAGGTTGGAAGTGACAGTCAAGGCGAAGGAGTAAATGTCTGCGGAGAAGCGCAACAGATTAGAGCAAGCACCGGGGTCGAAGAGAAGCAGGCGAGCTTACCCTCGCGGTCGTCGCAGAAGGCCATCTTGGTCTGGCCAAGGCCGATGGTGTACTTGCCGGCGCTGACGCCATCGAAGGTCTCCAGCTCGGTCTGCTCGACATACTACACGGCGGAGGTCAAATAAGTCAGTACGGTGTCATCATCATCTTGTCAGAAGTTCAATGTGGAGCGGCTGTTGGACGCGCCAGAGCACGGGGCGGAATATTGAGGAGGGGTAATTCTGGTGGTGGTGGGTAGATTGCGATTTCGGCGCTGAGGGGCAGAGCGTAGATTTTTTTCTCTCTCGTTTCCCTATCCCTCTCACAGCGACTTGGTGGTGGTGGTGGCGCAAAAAAAGCTTGGTGAGACCAACCTGGTTGGGGAAGTAAATTTCGATGGCCTTAATGCCAATGTTCTCAGGTCTGGAAGCCATTATGGACGGCGCGATCGAGCAGACTGTAACTGTGGGAAAAGTGAAGTCTACGGAAAGTTGAGGAGTTAGCCAGAAGACTTATTTTTGAAGTCCCAAACACCATTCACCGCCGTTTCAACGCGCCTGTCAATAGGTCGCCAAAGGTGCCCAACGTGCAGAATCAGGACAAGGATGTTCCAGAACCAGGGAGGGGACGGGAAGAAGAGGGGGAGGGGCAGTGAAGTCGAGCCCAACGCACCTATTGGTAGAGGAAGCTCGTCTTTCCGTGAGGACCAAAGCGTGTCGTAGAAGTTTAGGAGGAGAAGGAAGAGGAAGAAGGAGGAGGAGGAGGAGGGAGAGAGAGAGGAAGCTGTGAATGAGAAGAAATCAGGAGAGGGAAGCAGTGGCTTAAAAGATGTTGGGGCGAGACGAACAGGAGGCAGCAGCGGAGCAGCAGCAGCAACAGCAGCAGCAGGAGGAGCAGTAGCAGCAGCAGAGAGGGTGGAGGTGGTCGAAGGGGTGTTATCTTTTTTATTTTATTTTTCTGTTTATTCCCACAGCTCTGCAGATGATAGGAGAGACTAATGGCGGCATAGGCAAAAAAGGTACGGGGGGAGTGTTTTAATATTAAATCCCCACTGACGTCGCAACACACCACAGCCAGACCATTGACCCACGGCGGAAACGAGCCAGGTAGCCGTTGATGGGTGGGATCGAGTCACTTGGTGGGATGATGGAGGGGATGCATGTACTTTCTGGACGTGGGATGGGAGGGGGTTGGCGCTACGGGTACAAGTCGGAACTGCGACGCGCATCACCAAGCAGAAACATCCCCGATCAAGCTGTGTGTCTGCTGTCCGCTGTCCGGCGTCTAGATAAGGTAGGAAAAGTTTGGACCACTCTCCCAACTCATACCTTACCTTCCCTGGACAGTAGCAGTAACGAGACACCCGACGGTCCTGATATGAGACAGAAAGAGAGAGAGAGAGAGAGAGGAACAACGGTCGTGGCGGCGCAGTGTTCGAGTTATGTGACAACCGGTGGCTTGGGTTGGGGAAGATGGAGGGTGCGGCCTATGCGCGCAGCCAATTCGGCGCAGTGCCCAGCCCGATCCAGGGTTCCGAAGAATGGTGTTCCTAGGTATGTATCCGTACTTAGTCTTGCTTCGAAGTGTTTGTTGGTTTACCCGTTGCCTTGTGTAGATGGCGTCCCAATGATGACGCATTGTTCTCGGCTAGACACTGTTGCTATTTTCTGATTTTGCGAATCCTCGTCGGACAGACTAGATGGGACCGTTATTGTGCTTCTCTGTCAATGACCCTTCATTGCGGTCGTGTCCCGACTCCCCAGTCTGCGACAAGCAGTCACAAACCTATTGCCTGTCCCAGGCATATCTCTCTCGGCCCCAATATGCACTAGCACATGTTTGCCTTGGCGTCGAGGGTCTCCTTGTTTGTTTTAGCAGCGGTATGGCAAGGTGGAACAAACGTTCTATGTAAGCCAAGGTACGGATCATTAGCAATTACCTACATCTACATATCTAGGCGAGGCGCAAGGTCGATGACATATCGCGCCAGGGAAATTGAGACATCCGAAAAATTTGAGAAGCCATTTGGATAGGCTGCTGGACTTGCTGAGCTGGCTGTCATGATTCCTAGCTTACCAAAGGTGCGTTTATTACATCACTTGAACTGAAGCCTCAAGCAGCACCGTACATGCTGATACATGACGAACGGGCAGAGGACCCGGAAGGCAAAGGTACGCAGATAAGGTTGCGACGGACCCTGCGTCCGGAACGCAGTGAGGTCGTACAAGCACAAAGGCCAGACTAACAAGAAACACCCAACGAGAAACAGACTTACGGTGCTGTTGAATGATTGATTGATCGAATACCTAGGAGGGGGACGGTGCTCTGCTGTGTGGGTGGGTACCTGTGGCACCTTGAGGTGAAGAGCACCACCAGATGGGAAATGGGGTTTACCCTCCGCTACAACAGTACGAATACGTACCTCTACCTTTTCGTTTTCCATCAGCCAGTCGGAACGCTTGATGGTGTCGATGTACCGCTCAGCGGGGCCGAACGCCGAAAGGTACCTTATCAATCTGCCCCTCCAAGGCACCTAAGGTAAGGTACCTTATGGAGTATGGATACCATCTGGGTGAATAATTACGTGAGGGAAGGTCGACTTGCGACGAGTATCCTTTCGTGCCTTGCTGGACTCTCGCACATACTTTTCCATCTGAGTGGTGCAATTTTCCAGCAGGCAAACGGGTCTTCGTTTCTGCTTCTCTCTCTCGGGGGGCTGGCTGGATCGCTCCCTGGCCACTGCAAGAAGGACGGCATCTCGGTATGAAGCGGTTGATGCCAGTCTATCCGACTATCAGGCCTCCATGATGGATAGCCATCGCAAGCAAATACTGTGTCTGAGAGACCACCAAGACTGAGCGAAGACAGCTTGAGCTCGCTTGCACTGAGACGTGGAACGGCTTGGAGTGCGTGGTGAGAGACTTTTCCCCCCCCTCAAGCCCCGTCTGCGTTCTCCCCCTTCCGTGCCTTGGCGTCGCTAGCCTCATGTATCTGACGTACAGCACGTGAAGTGACCCGCAGGAAACTGAGAGAGATGTAGAAATTTAGGTACCTGATAACGTGGCCAGCCTTGTACTTTACATCTGCCTACCTATTGTCCCGAGTATGCTTCGTGTTCCAGTTTGAGGATCCACTGAACCGGGTCCCGGACGCTTCTTGACTCTTTGAGGCCAGCAAAGCGGCAATTAGAAGCATGCTGCATTCCATAGCAGGCAAGGTCCAATGGTCGAATAAATTGAACAGGCCGCACGCACAAGGCCCGCCATCAGGGGAGCGCAATCGGCAGCTAAGGGTCGCTTGTTTGTTATTCCGCTCATGGTTATGTCCTCGAATCAGGAAATTACGTTCAGAACAACCGTCCACATGGACTGAGACTCGAACAAGATCTATTCACAAGTGGCTGGCTAGCCTTACACATGGTCTCGGAAACCTTGGGACAATTTTTCCTTCAAAAGGGAACAATACCTACCATCCCGAGAGCTTGAGCAAATGTATGTCAGGATGAGGAGACGACGACGACGACGACTGCAGACAAGATTTTGTCCACACGGCGTATAGCGCGCCTGGCTTCTTAAGTCCCATTCGTTGCGCATGCCCCGCGGCGTGCGTCCAGAACTTTAGCAAGTCGCAGTTGATTTGCCAATATCCCAAGTGGGGGTAGCGTCTTTTGCTGTTAACGCTTCATCGTTTGTTAACTCCATCTTGAACAGCAACACGGCCGTCTCTGGCGTCGACTAGCTCATCTTCGTTCAGTCTAGCTTCATACAAAACGGCTTTGCATCCCGATAGTGATATGTCCAATTTGCTTTCTACCGACAGGAACTCGCCTAGTCGTATCCGAACTACTCCCTTGGTACCATGTTAGTTGGAGGCACAGGCAGAGGCATGGAAGAGACCTCTTGGGAATACAAAGCAGCACAGACACATGCGTCTGACTGCAGAACTGCAAGGGCAGCAAGCAATGTTCCTGGTCCTTCCCGGGTTAGTGACAGTCTGAAAGTGACAAGCAGGCCAGGGCAGCCACCAAGCCACTAAGCCGCTGCATCGCGCAAACTCCAAACCACGCGACTACATGGCCTACTTCTCACCGCCGCGGCCCCGTGTGATTGGCCTTGGTGTTTGTCCATCGTGGCTGAGCCTCCCGTCCTTATCCTGCCGACGTTGGTAGGAGCTGACAAGCTGGCCAACACTCCGCAGAGATCAGAGACAAGCATGTCGACATTGGGACCTTGCACGCGCCTCGCCAGACGCAAGTACGTACGTAACAAGAAAGCGGGATTAAAAGAGACTTGCGACCTTTTCTGGGGACGGGATCCTTGCGGCCCATTTCTTCCACCACCCCATACTCTGGACCGACCATTCCCTGCCTAGATCGTCTACAAAGTACACGGGTTCGACCTCGCATCGCCGCTTCGGTTCTCCGAATGCACAATGGGACCGCCCCGTAACGACATGTCACAAGCAGATGGCCCTTTGTCGCGGTTTTCATCCAGAACTCGAACTCCGAGGCCCTTAGACCGAGTGTGGCAACCATCAAGTCGTCCAAGAAAAAAAATTCTTTTTTACCCCTCGTACTCATGCCCTGCCACCGCACCGCACCGCACCGCACCGGTCTCGCATCGGCCCTCTTGCCCAGGTTGCATGGTCTGCCCCCCCCCTTGTGCCTTGGTATTCATCTTGGCCATTTTCTTCAAGCACCATACAGCACGGCACGGCAGGGTAAGGCAAAGCAAGGTAAGGCAAGGCAGAGGCGCATACCCGGCACGGAACAGACCTTTCTTTCCATCGTCCGAAGATCCTACCTTTAACCTCTCATGTGTCCCCGTTTTATCAACTCGGAAACCACCTGCATCTTGGGCATACCCCGTCCAAGGTTATGGAACCATTCATGATGACACTCTGCCTTGGCTGACCCGCCCCTCTACCGCTGAGACCCCGAGGTCACATCTGTCCGTCCGTCAATGGCTGCTTCCAGAAGCCTCCTGCGAGATCAACAATGGACCTGCCAAACCCTTCGACCCGGGGATCTGAGACATGATCCAGAGGGAAGAATCAACCAACTAAACTGAAGAAATGACCGAGCACACACGTGTCAGGTGTCGATGGCTGCCGAGGCGGTGTTAGTCGAGACGCTTACATAATTAGATGAAGGCGTTCACGGCTAACCACTGTTGCAGCGTCATTTTATATGTTCAATGGCTCGAAACCCTGTTGACAATCACAATCCCATTGAATCGATGTTCACTGGCTCAGTCAATGGCCTGTTTTTATTTTATTTTTTTACTGGAAGATGAACACAGGCATGCCTCTCTCTATGAAGTCGATCAGTCAAATGAAATCCCTCATGAGGTAGGTACGCTATGACATGGGATCGCGGTTGTCTTCCGGATGTCCCCATCTCATCTGGCCGCCCTGACGCCGGTCAATGCAAAATGTAAACATTCCCTTTGTAATGCAGATCCAGCTCAAACCTCCACTGGGGTACTGTAACCCGAATCTCGCTTTTGTTTGACATCCTGAGCCCCGTGCTCGGCCATTGCTCCCGAAGCCACCACCGGCTCTTGCTTCTCCGAACCCTTGGTTTCTCCCGGCCCCGTCACCGTCACCGTCACCTCGATGGGGGCATCCAAATCCGAGCCGGAGCCGGGATCGGACTCGGAGGACGAGTCAGAAGAGATCGATGATGCCTCTGTCTCCCTGCTCCGCTTGCTCTTCTTCTCAGCCTTGCGCTGCTTTACCCTCTGCTCCTTCCGCTTCTCCTCAGCCTCCTTCTTCTTCTTCTCCTCAGCCTCCTGCTTGCGCTTCTTCTCCTCTTCCTCCTTCTTCTTGCTCTCAGCCTTGCGTTTCTCCTCGGCGGCTTTGAGCTCCTTCTCCTTCTTCTCCTTGCGCATCTCCGTCACCCACTCCGCGGCCCTGGCGACCGCGGTCTCGGCGCTGCGCTTGTGCTTCATGAGGTACCCCTGGATCTCAGCGGGGCTAAACTCGTACGCGGGGATCTCGGAGACGAAGTCCTCGGAGAGCGCCTCGACGTTGGCGACGATCTCTGCGGTTCGCTTGGCGGCTTGTCTCTTCTCATCCTCGGGGGTGTGGTCGTCACATAGATGCTGGAGGGGCATGACGTTTGCGTCACCCTCGAGAGGGGCGTAGATGGCGCGGAATATGGCACCGATGATTTCAGCGTCAGCCAAGGTGAACTTGACAATCTGATCAACGCGGCCAGGTCGAATGAGAGCCTTGTCGAGCTTCTCGACGTGATTGGTGGTCATGATCAGAACCCGACCCTCCTGGCTGGCTACACCGTCGAGAATGTTGAGCAGGCCCGACAAGGAAAGGCGGCCGCTGGTGTTGCTTGCACCGTTTCCCACTGTCACCTGGCCGGGAACCATATGGCCACTTCCCTCCTTCGAGTCCGTGACATCGGCATTTCCGTTATTCTCTCGGGTGTGCGTCAGGCCGGCAGTGTCAATGTCCTCGAGGAGAACCACACACCGCCGGGGGAGCTCGGCAAACAAGGTGGCGAGGTTCTCCTCGTTCGCCGAGATGGAGCTCAGGCTCACGATATAGATCCTCATCTTGAAAAAGCCGGCAAGTGCGAGCGAGAGCGAAGACTTGCCGGTGCCGGGGGGTCCCGTCAGGAGGTACCCGCGGCGCCAGGGGATGCCGCGGTTGGAGTACCACTTTCGGGTCACGGGTGAGAGGTAGTCTGCAACGTCTTCCACGAGCTCCTTCTTGGTCTTCTCGTTGAGGATAACCGTCGAGAAAGGTCGGGACGTCCGGGCCATGCACCGCTGCCACATGGGCTCCGTGGTGCCCGCGCGGGTGCTGCCGCGGTAGATCATGGTCTTCTGGGAGTCCTTTTTGAGATACTCAGCGCGGGCCTCCTGGAGGAGCTCCTTGAGGATCCAAGGGTTGCGGCCGAAGCACGAGACGCTGATCTCCTCGCGTTCGCTGACAACAAGGTACGAGGCCTGCTCGCGGTTTTGGCTCCGCTTAAAGAGCAGCAGGTGGCCGCGGTACCAGAAGGAGTGGCTGCCAAAGCTGGGCGTGTAGGCGAGGGGCTTCTTCTTCTGGCCGGTGATCTCGACCAGGCCACCGTCGGAAGAAGAGTCGTCCGACTCCTCCTCGTCGTCGTTGTCCCAGCGCCAGAGGAACCAGGATCGTGAGCTCAGATTTGTGTTGACAACGAAGCGCCGGGAGTTTTTGGCGAATCTCTGGGCGGCGACCCAGGACATGAGAATGTTGTAAATTTCGTCGTCGGTGCGGACTTCGACTGTCGACATGAGGTGCTTCTCGACCCTTTCCCAGAGATACTCGCTAAAGTACCGCCAGGCAAAGGTGGCGCCGCCGCAGAGGATCACCAAGGGGATGTAGACGTTGAGGTCGATGCCAAGGTACTTTTGGAAGGCTGTCGTGAAGATGCTGAAGCCCGGGAAGAAGAAGTCCAGCAGTGCCAGCTGGGGGGCAGGCTGAGCTGTACTGGATGAGGTTTTGACGGGGTCGGCATAGCCGGAGTCTGTAAGTGTGTCCATGGTTTGTAGGAGTTGAGAAAAGGAGGCCAGCTCTGCGAAGGTAATGTGCGAGTCCACGTTGTAAAGTGTCGGTCGGGCCGAAGGCTACAGGTAAGGCGGCTGAGTGGGAGAGAGACAGGGAGGGGTCGTACTGGTGAAGTGGTGAGAGGTCGTCGACGGGTGAATGTGCGAGGAACACGCTGTCCTATATAGTCGGATATACAGATACAAACATACACCCACAGGCATTTGAGGCAACCACGTCAAAGAGGCGTTCGTGACCACATGTTCAGCCAGTTAGGCAGGAGTGTCTACCACCCCACCACATTTTGGACGCGGGCGACATCACGAGTTTGCATGACAACACCATACCAATGGGCATAGCCGACCTGTGGACTTGTCCGAGCTCAAAGGTCATTGAGGCCGCCGTGTATGGGAGAAAGCGTGGAAGCTTCGTTGAGTCACTCCGGGGACTGTACCAGGCGTGCGCTGTGGCAGCGGCGAGGTAATGGAAGCCGCCAATACAAGTCCTCCTGTTCCTTTCAGCAAGCGTTTTACCCGGGAAATATTGTTTAGCTCTCGTTCGAGACCGTAGCTGAACAATAGGCAACGATTGCCGCCTGCCCTGGGAAAGGCAGGGCTGATCCGGGGAAAAGCCCAGAGTCCTTGAACAGCCGTCTTGTTCGGAAACAAGCGGCCCCAGGAGCAGTAGACATGGCCGAGCCAATCATCGTGCCAGACAGAATCTTGGTTAAGACAACGAGATTGGCTTGTATGCAGTCATCTTCCAGAATGGAGACAAGTCAAATCGGTGGTTGGCAAGGCGGAAAGGTGGTCCTTGTGAGCGAATGAACGTATGAACGTATGAGAGGGGGGGAGAATAGAAGAAGGGAGACCTGTGTCTACTGCAAAGACGGATTGGCTTGAATTATCTTGCAGCCAATGTTAATTGGCTTGCCAAACGAGATGCTTACTGTGACGCCAAATGCTCCCTGCACGACATAGTACCATGCCCCGGCCCAGAAATTCATGGTAGTGGCGGAGGTCAGGTTTTTCTAGATGCAAGTACGGTAGCGTACGGTCTACCAACTTGACTCCAGGAAGATTGTACCATGATGCCACCGGCATTGCGGCTGACAGTGATTGCGATACTCTGTACTCGGTACAGAATACAGATTTCTAAATGCAGGATCAGGGCTTTTTGGGCGGTGGAGGCGGATGCACCTGCACCGTGGTTGAGGCCAACTGGGAAGTCTGTGTGTGGCTGGGTCCGGAGAAACAGGCTACAGCCCATGGACTCAGCCACACATTCGAGCTCTAGCTACAGCCGCTTCCCCGAATGACGCAGAGAGGCAGGCGGATCGGGCTTCCGTATCGAGGTTGTTTCCTTGCCTTGGTTCTGTCTCCCGGTAGAATGAGTTGCTGCTAGCCTAATTAGGATGACAGGATTGTCATAGTAGGCATGTTCGCCGTTCCTCGACCATGGACTAGCAGGACCCCAGGACGTGGTTTCTTTCCGACGCACCTGTCTATTCCAACCTCTCACTTTCCCTCAGTGCTGTAGTCGATGACCTGCTGTTGTTCATCAGTCGCAATCGCCATGGAAAGGCGACGGCTTTGACTTTTCATGTGCTCATACATCTATTTGGATGCACGGCCACGTGGTGGTTGGAAAAAATCATTGAATACTACAAGCAGCGTACTGCAAACTAGCATCACGTTTTGTCTGCCAAAGTCGATACATCGGTATTATGAGCTCGTTCTTTCGTGACATCATGATTAAATCCACGTATCATAAATCATTAAACTCCCTCCCCAATTTCTGTGAAGGTCCTGTCTCTCCCTTCGATGTTCTGGGTACAATTGGAGGAGAGAGTCGAGTAGTGGTTGTTTTTTTCAAACGCCAATCTCGATCGTATCGAAACCAAAAGAAAAGACCGCCTGCCGTGTGTCCGTACAAGAATCGAAACCGAAAACCCCACTTGGTCTCTCAAAGACAAACTCAATCATCCCAATCAGCGTATTTGCCAGGGAAGTTACCACCGCCACCGCCACCTCCGGCGTTGAGATCCACAAAGGCAGGAGCGTCGCCGCCGCCGAAAGCTGCCGGGGGCGGCGGGGGAGGTGGGTGAAACCCGGGGTTCATGTCGAAGAAGGCGGGTTCCTCATCGTACATGGGAAATCCGGGTCCCGGAACCGTATTCGGCGGAGGCGGAGGCGGCGGGTGGTTGAACGGAGGAGGAGGGGGCTGGAACGTAGATGGCGGCACGGTAAACCGGTGCCGGCTCGATCCCCGCTGCTCTCTGCGGAGCCGGCCACTCGTCCGGCTACCGGAGCGGGAGGCGATCTCGGAAATGCTATCGTCCCATTTCGGACTGACCCAAGCGTACGAAATGTAGGATGCGTCGCTGTATACGCTGGTGCCGTCGTCGTAGTCCCAGTCCTCTTCGTAGTCGCAGACTTTGGTCTTTCGCAGGGCCAGTTGCTTGCCCGGGGGTGCGCCCGTGGTCCATTTCATAAACGAGACGGACCAATGGTCGCTTTTGATGTTGGAGTGAGATATCTGAGACGATCTGGACTTCTTGGAACCTCCCGAGCTTGAGGATGATCGAGAGGACGACCGGGAAGAGCTACCGGACGAGTAGCTCGATACGGATGAAGCATCGTCAAAGCGGTGCTGATGTTGATGAGCCATGACCGCGTTTGGGACACGGGAAGGATGATGTGGGGGTTTGAAGGAGTAATGCAAGAAGCAGCAGCAGCACGAACAACGTGCAAAGAGGTGCAAATAGACCGTGGGACAACCTGCTATGACACAGCAAAACTACTACCTGGGGGAATAAGTTGCCTGGGCGGTACCCTTGCCGATCAACTCGAGAGTTTGCTTATCACCGAGGAAGAGACGGAGCAGAGAACAATAGACGAAAAGTGCACAGACGAACCCGGGATGGGGCTTGATCAAATACTTGTTGCACTCGGCATTGCAGGCGGAATGGTTGAGCATGGCCGTGAGTGACCACCTACATCTTTGGTCAGCATTGCTCGCCTCGTCTCATTGCCAGTGCTGGAGCAGAGTAGTGGTGCGTGCAAGCTCTCATGCATGATGCGAAGTGCAAAAGGCAAGGGACTGGATGTAATTTGGATGTCTCGTTCCTCAACTTGGCAACCAAGGTGCAAAGTACCACCATCATCCCATCACCCCGTCCACCACCAAACCAACAATGGCCGAGCATCCATACATAATAGTATCCATTATGAAGAAGGCTGCGGAGGTGTGTCTCGTGCGGGGTACATAGTATGCACTACGTACTGCACCATTACAGCCCACCCTCCCTCCTTGTATGCAGAAAGAAGCACTTCTTCCTCGCCCTGCTTCCACTTAAGTCCACGGCAGCCCCGCGCACACATTTAATCCATTCACCGTGTTTCACGCCGATCTTTCGAGACAACTCAAAGCGCACACGAAAGAACCACGTTCCGAGTCTTGAAGTACTTTAGGCAAGGCAACTATCTATTGCCGAGTGGCACAACTCAGCGCAGGCCCGAGAACAGATGCCACACGATGGGGTGGGGGGGATGGATGACAGAACCGAACGAAATAAACGAGAAAGCGTAAACAGTATGAGGGGGGAAGAAATATATTGCCAGTCCGTACTTGGAACACACCTGGTTACGACTACTGCAAGCATCACTCAACATCGTACTAGACTCTGCCTCTGCAAAGCGGGAGAAATCAATGAGGCTTCCCTCCAGCCATGGCGCTGGCCCTGGGAGAAAATACAGCTTAAGCAGCATGTAGTCTACCTGAGCCACCGCAATCCTGCCAGCATCGAGTCGACTGCCGTCGGAGCGAACCACATTCATTGGGATGTCCGGCCATGTGGAGTAGAAATGAGGCTGCAAATGCACAAGAGAGAGGAACAACAGGCAGCCAACGAAATCTGGCCGCATCAGGCAACCCCTGGATCAACAACGCGAGGCACTTGCAGCTATCGCTAGCAGGGGGTGGGTGGAGGGGGATGACTGGATGAAAATGGGGCTGCTCATCGAGTGATCAGAGCCACTCGGCCGCACATATCTCTCGACGTGCAGTAGCTGCGAACACCCATAACCATACAAAACAGGTCACAGCAACCCTTTTCTTACTCGCCTCGATCCACGGAGGAATGCAAGTGCAGACGCCTAGTCTGCGGGTGCCAATCGCGGCCATTTTCGTATTGGCCGCTTTCTTCTATAGCAGGCTGGCTGAAGAGGCATCACCATCCTCTGACTCTGTGTGGTAACTGCGGGCATAGGACAAGATGCCATGTTCATTGGGAGGTTGCACCAAGAAAACGAGAGTAGTACGGAGGGAGAAATGACCTGGTCATATCCGAAGCTGCATCCATCCGTCTAGGCAGCGGGATACTATCGAAGGTCTTGACCACGGCTGGAATACATCCGACGAGAGATGCCACGCAGGAGACTGATGAGCTCCGAGTGGTCGCAGCGGGCGGGCAAGTGGCCATTTAGATAGTCCGGGGTGGGCTCCGAGAGACGGATGATGGGATGATGCACTCGTATGCGAGTGCCAGGCGCGATGAGACGTAGACTTCTACTTACCGCATGCTGCAGTGTTTTGCGATTCTGATGCTGCCTCTGCCTCTGCCTCTGCCAGGTTGCCTTACCGACTGGTCGCAAGAACTGCACACCGAAAGTCCCCGCGAGATGTGACAGGCTCAGCCGAGGAGGGCGACTAAGTGAGCAAAGCGGCGTTTGAATAGGTCAAGCGTCTGAAGTGCTCGCTGGTCATAGAGCCCGCAAGTCTGGATAGCTCGACTTGCTGACTGTCTAGAGCCGCCAACTTGTACAAGCACACGTTGCCGCAAACAGTAAAAGAGCATTGCGAGCGGGGATTTACCCTTGGTCGATGCAGAAGAGGAGGGCGGAGGAGACGAGCAGGGTTGGAAGAAATCCATCGATTCGGATGGGTTGCCGTTGCGAATGAAAGTTGGCGGACGAGGGTGCGATACATCCGGCTCAGAATTGCATCCGCCATTCGCTTACTACGGGCACAGCACTAGGCATTTTGAACCTTGCCAGTGCCCCAAGACGCAAGACCGTATCGGTTTGTAATTGAAGAGAGGTGAATTGAAAAAGAACGGACCAACCGGGTCATGGATTTCAAGGGTGTCGTACAAGTCGGGGGCTCTCTATTAGAAAGATTAGAAAGGAAGCGTATCCACCAGAACCAGAGTAAATGGCGGCGCAGACTGGCGGTTCGCGGTCGAGATTGACAAAGACGACAGCGTGCCAACAGTACGACTGAGACGGTGGGCTCCGGAACGCTGTGAGAGGAGGGGGGTTTGGTGTCTAGGCTCTGCCGTCGACAAAGATATTGCAGCTTGAGAATGCCTGTCTTGTAGTTTCCCAGCGGCAGCGGGCAGAAGAAATACGAGTCAGTATTGAGGAGTATTCGTACTGGGGCAGGCAATGCCCGGTACAGATTAGCAAGCTGAGGTTGTTGACACGGATATGCCTGGCAGACGCTGAGATCAACCCAACAGACCGACCAGGTTGAGCAAGGTTCTGAGAGGAAGAAACAAGCTAGGAGATGTGCTGCCCAGAGACGAAAGCAGTCGAAGAAACAGCCATCGGCGACCGAAGCTTAGCGAGGCGGGAAGCTTTGTGTCTTGAGTCCTGTTTGTCCAGACGCAAGTGGTTTGACCGGTTGCCTGTATCACCGTTAGCGGAACCTTATTCCAGCTAACGTGCCTGGGACTCGAGAGAAATAGATATAGCGGCAGACAGAGACAGCCCATCCTACCTGTCATCCATGCACTGCTTCGAGGGTACCTGAAGAACCGTGGGAACCTACCGGCCAACTGGAATCATTTGCTCCTACCCGATGAAGAGGCAGAGAGAGGGATCATGGCAGGCCGGGTTTTGGCGAGGAAGGCTGAATGGAAGAGCAAGTGAATTCCCTGCCTTATACTCACGACAGACGGCGGTACACCCATGTTGAACAAAGAAACATGTAAATCAGCTCATGCTTTGGTTAGTAGTCATCGAGGAGCCCAATACCTATTAGTGTGTTGGCAGGAACACCATGTCTGGCGACCGCGTCTGAGTGTGGCAGAGACAACCATGGGAACAGGTTCCAGACACGGCACGTTCCCGACCTTCTCAGCCAAGGTAACCTGGAAGGCTTGCAGGGGTCTCGGGGATGGGGCACCACGGCGAACTGCGCTGCACCCCATTCGCCTCTACCACAGTAGATAATTCCGTTCTGGGCTTCGGTGCCAGCACGCCTGGGCTTTTTTCACTTCCATTGATGGAGACCGCTTGGCTCGCAGCGCTCGAGCCGACTGGTATGACGCTAGTCTCGTTTCGAATCTAGCGCCAAGCTCTTGCGCCGGCAGCCAAACTGAGATCTACTAACGTCCCTGTTTGTCCTTGGCTGCTGTCTTGAGTTGGCCCAAGGTAAGGTACCTAGGAGAACACGCCACAGCGACCACCCTGGGAATGGGCGGCACTTGAGGCGGGAACCCACTGTTTGCCAAACGTCTGAAACCCTGCTCTGCGACAGCATCGCTCCCAGTTTACTCCGAAGACCTTACTTGGTCTTGTCCGTCCATCTGATTCTGAGGCATCGTTTGGTGTCGCTGACAGGACCGGCATTCGATGACACAGAATCATCTTGTTTACCCAGCCATTATAAGAGCAACTTGCCGGTTTTGAAATCGGGATCCCCATGGCGCTTTTGGCCATTCTCTCTGGGAGTCTCGGGCAGAGGACAACTCTTCACGAGAGGGGGTGGTCGGTGGATGGCCGAGCCCTCAACGACATGATTCTACGTGGAGAAAGTCAAACGCTGCCTCGGCCATTAAGCAAGAGGTGATGGCAGAACTTTGGTCTGTTCGCAGTGTCCCGGGTATATAGATAGGCTCGTGATATGTACGCGATTGCGCTGGGCAGAGGGCAGAGGGCAGAGGATAGAGGGAGTCGCATTGTTTCTTGAATTCACTCTGGGCCACAGTAGTCGGCCGTGGCTCTGCGGATAAGGTGTGGCCGATCCTGGCCCGCCTGTGTTATATACGGTGTTGTGCTGGGGCTTGGGCTTGGGCGTGGGCAAGACTGAAGAAAGAACAGTGGCGGAGAGCATTCGAATCTGCAGATGGAACGAAATGATACCTTGCTCAAGTGAGTGCCGTGGTGCCTTTCTATACTACATAGGTACACGTAGTAGGGGGCTATAGTCTCTACAATACTACAATCCTAAGGGCAACATCAACTACCTTCCTTGCCGGTAATACTGTGGAGTGTGGAGTGTGGTAAACGACCGTCTCTGTTTGGGTGGAGCCGTGCATCTTGAGAGGACCTGGACTCGGTCGATTCGACTTGTTTTTTTTTTTTTTTTTTTTTTTTTAGCGTTTGTTCACTCCAGACGCCAATGCTGCACTGCACCTCTTCTTCACCTGTCTCACACACCAACGAACTCCTGCACCCGCACCTGCACCTGCACCTGCACCTGCACCTCCACCTGCACCTCCACCTCCAGGGAGCGCCGGGCGAGGACTGTCCGGTCCTACATTTGTGCTGCCGCTGCGAAACCCACCCTCTCCGTCTACTGTCCCTCTATCCGTACAGAGTATTGAATCTATTCCAGGTTCACCTCTGCAGTCTGTCTGTGCATTGCTTACTACCAGTGGACTCTCCGTATCTGCCGTTGAAGAATAGAGAGACCGTCTAGCAAAGTTCAAAGAGGGCAGCTAGACTATCACTAGATGGACAGGCCAGAGAGTCATTGTCCGCCGCCTCTCTTTTTCTTCTATTCTGACTGTCTGCAGCTTGCTGACGTCGGGCCAGAAAACACACGTTCCTCGTCTTAGTCTGTCGGAAGAGTGTACTTGTTCCAGCTGCTGCGACACACAGACGAAGCCTGTACCACTCGTCTCTAGGCGTTAGCAATGAATGTCTGTGACAGTAATTGTCCTTGATGGATTCCGCCCGGTCCCCCGGCCCAGTGCTCCCAAAGACGGCACGGTTTCCCCTTCCTGTCCCTCCATGTCACTCATTTGCACGCGCTCTCTGCCTGGTGCCCACGCCTTCCACGCTATCCTCCTTCTTCCTCGAATCTCTCCCGTGTCCCCCTGGCTGGTCGACATTCGGGGAACAACCTCCCCCCCCCCCCCCCCCCCCCCCCCCCCCCCCCCCCCCCCCCCCCGCCCCCCCCCCCCCCGGCCCCATGGGGGACCACCCCCCCCCCCCCCCCCCCTCCCAGAGTACACACTGGTTGCGCCGTAATGTGCCTTGAGGCAAAGTACTTAGTACCTTGGCTTGTACTCCGTACCCCACCGTGATGGGCACCCCAGTCGTTTCCTGGTTCCAGCAGGAAAGTCTCCAGCGGGTTGGCTTCTCTCGCTTCTGAATATGGCCCCCTGGGTATCCTGCCTCCGCAGCCGGTAGACAAGGGAAAAAGAGGACCCCCATCACCCCTCCAATGAGAAGCCTGGACGCTTCGTGTCGGACCCCAAACCCAAACTGTTCCTGAATCGTCCAACCTTGTCTGGTATTACCCTCCCGCACCCGCACTCTCCTTCTCACTCCCTCTTTCGCCTTGTCCTACGCCTACTCCTCCTTCTCCTCCACGACCCAACGACGCCCTGCCTCTCTTTTCCACACCACCGGTCTAATCTGTCCACTCATCACCAAAAACGCTACAACTTCGTCACCACAATCTTGCCGACCCGCTCAAGCGATTTTGTTTTTCGACTACTCTTGTCGACGACTGGTTCGGAGCGGCATAATCGGCAGAGTGTTAACGACGCAGGCAACCGCGGGTTGAGGCCGGGACTGGATCTGGATTTGGGCCTACGGGGTCAGCGGCGGACGCCCATGTTGTGAAATTGTACCACCACACTCTCAACAGCCGCAGCTTGTCGTCGACATCGAAACCCGACCATCGAACAAAGTCACCATGAATCCATTTCACGACAAGGCAGGCAACGAACGGAGGGCTTCCCTCAGGATGTCAGCGAGGGCCTCTTTGACGGTAGACGATGATGACTACGATTTAGCAGCCATGGGCATCTCGGATGGTTTCCGCCCAGCGAACATCTCCGCTTCCCATCAACCCATCAACTCGACCACAAACCTTTCGACTGGCTCGGCGTTTGTGTCACGAGATTCTCCCGTGCCCCAGCGCGTCACACCTCCTCGGCCGTCCAGCATCTCGAAGCCCCCTCGCTCCCACGACCCGCTAGCACTCCGTCATGATGGTTCAACGTCTCAATCCAACGGCGTTCCAATCTCCCGCGTGTCCAGCACCTCGACCGATTCGCCAATAATCAGATCCGAGAGTCCCTACGAGGGACCGTCTGGCCCGTCCCACCCGTACCAAATGTACCCGCAACGCACCAACAGTGTCGCAACGTCAAACACCGCTCGCATGTCAGAAAGATCATATGCGGGCCCTCGCGGACCGACTCATCCATACACTCTCTACACACAAAACACTGTGACCGCTGACACAAACAATGGCGAAAATATACCCGTGGGATTTGCTGGCCGCTCAGATGGCTATCATCGTCGGATTGGACCAGATGGGGAGGAAATTGCCGACCTTATTGGACCACTGGGCCATACCGAAGAGCTACCACCCTATACTAGATATCCCGAGCAGGCCTATACAAGGAAACAACCCGGTGAACAACAACAATCATCGACACCACCGCTGCAGACTCAACAGCAGCAACAACGGGAACCAGAGCAGCAACAATCTCCGGTCCAACAACCTGTCGTCACGGTCATGACTGCCACGGTTTCCCCCATCCCTGGCGCTGGCGGCATTGGTCTCGCGACGCGCAATCCCGAGTTCGAGTCACGAGAGGATTTACGTCTAGTATCACCATCACGAACGTCTTCTCGGACATTGAATGACGAGACTGCCAGCCAACATGAGATCAACACTGCCGCCGAGTCTTATGCCGAGAAGGGCGAAAACGCCTCTGATCGCAAATGGCAAAAGAGGGCGAAGAAGAAAATGTTTGGTGTCATTCCTTATTGGGCTATCTGCTTGTTGGCACTTGGGCTGGTGTTGATGTGAGTTGAACAAATTGCCCTTGTCTTTGGTGCGACGTAACTGACAATATCCAGGGGAATCATTCTTGGTGCCGTTATCGGAACATTCTTCGCCAATCACAAGAGGCCACCCGGCAAGCATCAGGATGACGAGCCTATACCTGTGATCATCCCGACCGCCACGGTCGACGTGAAACCCCTCGCCACTCTCCCGCCGGACCTTCCACCGATGGAAATCGGTACATTTGGTTTGCCGCCTCTCATTGCAAGCCAGGCGCCTAGTACTTGTTTCAACGATACCACACAAGCACAAGCCTGGACCTGCAACATTCCTTTTACCAGCTATGTGATGGGCGTTTCCAGAATTGCCAACGAACTACCTATATCCGATTATACCTTAAAACTTACTACATTCAATGACAGCGATCACGACGAAAACTCCCGGATCAACATGTTCTCATGGGGTACTCAACCACCACTGATTATAGACCCCCTGAAGATGCGGCTTGTCAATGACACTTCTGAACAAGGACGTGGTGCTGCATGGTTCGCTCAGATGACCTACAATAAGACCGTGGTCGTGCCCGAAGATAGGTTCCCTGGCGTCACTACCACCCCCAAGAAACAGCAGCCGCAATCTAAAAGGGGCGGGTCATGGGATGGACCACCGCCTGGTATGTCGGAGTTCAGTAGGAAAGGGGTCAAAGGAGCCCAGGCCGGCGACCGGCCTTGGATTTGCACCTGGCCTGGAACCCTTCTCGAAGTCTTCGTCTACCCTGCCCAGAACAACAGCTATCAGAGGAAACCCGCGTCCACAACATCCCGGCCTCCGGCAGAGGCAACGTTCCCTCCTTCGACACCGACGCAGTTCCTAGTCCGTGAACTGCAAACCCAGGCTCCCCAATCAAGTTCAATTCCGCCTGATAGACCACGCCGTGCTCCGCCACCCCCGTACCCTCAGGTCATCAAATTCGAAGAGCGACGTGTTTCCCTCGACCAAACGAAAAATGCATTTTGCCGACAGGTTGAAGTGTGCGAAGACGGCCAGAACACTGTGCCCGTCTTGAACGATGAGGGCCAGCCGATCGAGGTCATGATCATGGAAAATCGGCAAACGGTGGCAATAGCAGACTCGAGCAAACGCTGGATACATGAAGACAGCCTCTTGGTATCTCCTAGGGACCGACCATCAAGGACGAGTCAACTGAGCGACTGTGGGTGCATTTGGTGGTTCACTTAACACCTATCCACCACCACCGACGAAACCCCATCACAAAACAACCATGATCTACTGTACGGTTTAATGTACCACACACCATTTTGGCATCCACAGTCCGTGTTTCTGATTTTTCTTTTTTTCCGGGGGGGGGCGGCGTCAATTAAGGTATGGACGAGCATCTATGGGCGTCAAGTACCAGGGCGCAATAAGGCAGGCGATTGTACATATATTTGGCAAATACCTATGGACGGACCAAGAGGTCCCCGAAAAGTCACTTGAAGGACGACGAATGGTTTACAGCCTAGCTTTGTTGATCCCTCTCATAGTAGGCTCACACTTATTCAAAGAATTCTTATTTATGGTGCAAGTCCTCTCTAGTAAGTAGTTGTAGTTTATGGAGAGCGTTTGATTTAGAAGATCGAGTATCAGACATGGACAAACTTTCTTTGCCACTGGCCTTCTTTCTCATGACGCGTGCTATCGGGTATCATTCAGTCATTGTTTTCAATGGTCACTATTCATGTCTGCCGCCAACCCATCCAAAAAATTCTCGGCCATCTTCTTGGCCCTCCTCGCCTCTACCTCTTTCCTCCGCTGCTCAATCTCCTTTCGCCTCGACTCCTTCTTCTCCTCCCTCTCCTTCCTTGCCGCCTCCGTCCGCAGCCTCTCCTCCTCGAGCCCCTGAAACTCTTTTTGCCTCGTCCCCTCGTCCTTGCTGAACTTGTAAAAGCCCGTACCCTTGGTGCGAATCTCGCTATCGGCATCGTAGTGCCTCGCATCAGGCGGCGTGGCGCTGCGATCTCGTTTCCTCGCCAGCTCCGCCATCTTGTCCGGGTCTTCCGGGTTGAAGGCCATGGTCTGAATGGCGTCGCCGTACAGCAGCTTCGCGGGGGCCGCGGGACGGGCGGACATGCGTTCGAGCTCCTCGGCGCCGAGAAGGCCGCGCCGGCGCTGGCGTTCGAGGCGTTCCTTGTCCGCTTTGGTGCCGTGGCGGAGACGACCGAACTCGTCTTCGTACTCTATCATCTCGTTGTCCTCGTTGGCCCCGTCATCGAAATCGTTGTCCTCCTCGGAGCTGCTGGAGCTCGCATCGCCGACGTCTTTCTTGTTGTCCTTGGCCGCTTCGGATTCGGCCCATTTCCGGTCAAAGTCTATTAGGGGCGCTGCCTCGTTCTCCTTGGGGACGTAGTCCCCCCGCTTCATGGCAGCGTAGAGGCGTGCTTTCTCTTCCATCTTGCGTCGCGCGGGAGCGAGATTTGACGTTTCTTCTTCTGTACCGAGCGGGTCTTTCAGGTTCAACTTGTTGCTGGCTGTTGCGTCTGCAGGCCTCTTATTATACCCGCTGCCGGCGTCGCCATCTCCTCGTTTGGACGTTGCGGCTCCTCCAAAGAGGCCTTCTCGTATCTTGGAGGGTCGAGGCCGGGCTGGCGCTGAGGTTGTTGTGGCAGGCGTTGACATGAGTGAGGTGAGCTGGGCAGTGAAGTCAAGCGAGCTGCCAAGAGTCATGCTGCTTTTGCGCTTCTTGGGCGGTGGTTGGCCGTAGAGGTTGGGATCCTGCGGCATCTTGATATGCTATGGGGAGGCCACAGGTTGGATCGAGTATCTGGAGGAACACTTGCTGCTCAGAAATAGCTGGTCGGGATGGTAATGTCGAATACGTGAACAAAAGTGATGGAAGTGGGGGGACCCCGGATTGATGCGCGCGGTTGGCGCATGCTATAGAAATCCTACCTACGCATGGGAGCCTTATCGTTATCGGGGAGGCAGGTGCTGTACCAATCGTGGGTACTTAGGCGGGAGGGGGTGCGCTGGACCGAGGTCGCTTAATAATAGAGGTTTAATATGTTTTAATTAAATAATAATACCCTTCATGGCAACTATCTACTTACATGATATAGTGTCGATATTAATTTAATAAATAACACGTTTTTTTAAAGCTTATTATATTGATAAAGTAGGTTCTTCTCTGATTAAAAGTATTAATTTAAAAAAATATATAAAATTAAAAAACGCATTTTGTTATATTTACTTAAATTAAAGAAGTTTTTTCTCATACTCATATCAGCTATTAATTTAATAAAGAGCCAGACCGCTAATAGAGAGATTCTTTAAAGACATACCCCTTTCAAGTGGCAGCTGAACAAATGTCACGGTTAGAAACGTAGTGCCTAACCCACTAAGCCAAAAGGTGGCGCCCCCGGCTAGATTTTATCTACTGTACGTGTGTGAGGCCTTGGGTACGCTTGCGCGTCCACTCATGGGTACGTACCGACGTGGTCACGTACTGAAATGTGACAACAAAGCTTCATCTAGCGCACCCCACTCTCGGGGCAAGTAAGATGAGTACAGTACCTAAAATAAGGACGGAATCCACGACGTTAGTTCAAAAGTCTAATTACAGTGATAAGTATTGTCATACTAAAATTATAAAAAAAAAATTAAAATTTAAATTATATATAGTAGAACGAATCGTGACTGTTTAGCCATGTGCACCCCACAAAATGCGGGCCCAACACTTTTCAGTGCGGCTATTAGACGCTATATAGAGAGAACTCAATATCACCTGCTATGTCACCTGCTATATCAAGTGAGCCGGATCTTAAATATATATAAATTATAAATTTTAATTATTTAATAAATATGTTTATAAATTAAATTAATTAATAAAAAGCAGATTCTATTATTTAAAAAACTAATATTAATTATGTATAAAATTTAACATAAAAAAGTAGATCATATTAGGGGGTGGTTAGGGGTGGTCAGCCGTAGCTACTTTTGAAACGGCGTTGTCAGGTACTGAGGTTCCCGGTACGTTGCCCTCTCCACCTTCTATTCCTTGAATAATAAGCCATGAAACCGCCAGAAGGTTGACAGCTTTTTTCAGGAATACTTCTACTCCCAACTAAGTTATCCACTTGTACCTTCACAAATAGGCTATCAGAAGATTCATTCATGACAACTCCAAGGGTCCAGTCAAGGGTAGCTTCCCTATTGGTAATTCCGCTGTCCCTGTCGCATCATAATCATCAGGTAAGGTACCCAAGACAACGCTGCAAGCCCATCAATGGAGGAACCTCAGCAAAACGAGTGAATGAAGGAGAGGAAGGGAGGGCCGAAGAAAAGAACCTCCCCTTCGTTCATCAAAACCGCGCGGAAGTGGACTCCATGACAAAGTAAACAAGGAGGATGGTGCATCAAGAGAGGGACGCGTTCCGCAGCGCATTGCGCACCACAACCTACATACCCGTCGAGCTGTTCTAGTCTCTGGACAAAACCCTGCCTTCAAAGCACAGCCCCTTCACCACAACCTCGCGATCGCTCTACCCGGATTCGCTCAGATTCTGTAAGCGTCTCCGCGCTGAACCTGCCCCTGTCGGAGTGATAGCCGTCGTCCCACCCGCCGGTTCCAGTGGTGGTGCCTTTTGCTGGGGCGACAGGTGCCTCGGCTCTGGTGGAGACGCCTGATTTTGATTGTGATTCCATGGACGGCTCCAACATATTCTGTAGATGTAGATGACGATGTCTACGCCAATCAAGAGAAGGATGGGGCCGAAGAATGCAAAGCCCAGCACGATCTAGTGAGAAGGCGTCAGCGAGCCGGCAGCTCGGAGGGATGAGGAGGGGGCAATGGGTGTCTCGATGGTACTCACAAAAGCGCCCGAGATGTATCTGACAATGGTAGGGTAGTCGGAATGTAGCAACGAGTAGGTCATCATGGTGTCGTACCACGACACTGTCTGCGCGGGGGTATTCATGAGGTGATTGTGGGAGCAACGGCGACGGCCGCTGGCGAGTCGGATTGGAAGTGGCTGAGGATGAATGGCGATGATAGGAGAATGACGAGAGCAATTGAGTGCGGCGGGATGGGATGTTGTCGGATTCTAATGGCAGGCTGGCGCAGTGGGCTGTAGAGCCAGGTCGCGCGTTCGACGACGGAAATACGTCCGACGGCAGGCTGTTAGAGTGGTATGACGAAATGTGCAGGAACAATAGAGCCTATTGCTTGGAGTTTTGGCCACTTTGCGCCAAGGGGAAAATCGGGAGGGGGAGTCCTACGTTATTAAATATTCCCTCCCAGCCATGTCTTGGGCGGGCCAGTCGCGAGGCAGTCATGTGCTGGGTAGTGAGGTGGATAATCAGGCAAAGGGAGGCACTGATATAGATGATCATAAGGATTCGCGAAGACAGCATTGGGCGGCCGACGTCTCCGTCACGTTCTACGGTTTAGTCCGGAAAGAACGAGCGGCTACAGTAACTACAGCGACTCTCGTCCTCGCTTTACAAGTGACGAGGCATTTTGGTAATCTTCAGATAGCCCACCATTCGAAAGAGATCATAGCTGCCGGAGCTCTATCTTTCCCTCCATGTCTCCTTTTCTAACTTTTCTCCCCCCTCTCTCTCCTTCCCAGGGCAGGTTGTGTATTCATCAACACACAATGCCAGGTTGGCAAGGGCACAAATGATAGCTGCATCCTCGGCCCCTCGTCCGCGTAAAAAAGGCACCCAGCGGCGTGCGGCAGATCACCCGCAAAAAGAGACGTTCCTTAATTAGTGTAAGGTACCTGGCTAACCCAGAGGCATCGACAAACCGTGCGAGTACTGCGGGCCTTCAGCCGTTAAAGGTATGACTTATCACCTAGATGGGCCGTGACATGTCATTCGGAACTTACTTGTAATATGGGTTCAGTAGTCATCTATTGATGTGGATGAAGCAGGAGAAGATCCATCCTCCAAGAGGGATCTCTCCAGTGCCCTTATATGGGCCTATCTAACAAAAGGCTGCTGCCTCCAGCAGCCTACGTACCTGAACCTTCTAGAAGGGACAGGTGTCTTGGGGCACCTCCTTTCAACTCTCCCCTTAACACAAGATTCCTATATTTTATAATCTTTTTAGTCCTAAGTAGCGTTATAAATAACATAAATATTTTTATTTTTAATAGCTTTTTTTTTTTTTTATTTACGTCTTTTATTTTTATAAACTTAATAAGCTTTTTAAATTTTTAAATAGCGAACGGCTTAGTAAGTATATTAATAAGGTTATATTTCGTATTAACTCGGATAATATCGATATTTTTAATTTTAATAACTTTTTTATATATAAAATAATATTAAATATCGATATACTTAGTCCGATAATAGAACTTAGGATTTTTAATAAGTTTCTTAGTAATATTATTATCTATATAAAAAAGTATATTTTTATAATAAAGTCCATTAATAGTAAATAAGTTAATAAAATTCTTAATCTATACTACCTTTTTTATAATTTCCGTTGCCGCAATATATTCGGCTTTTATAATAAATATTAATACCGTTTTTTATTTTTATAAATTTTATAATATCGGTGTTCTTTTAAGTATAAAGATCTATTTAGTAATAAACTTTACCGTATTTTTATATTTTATATAGTTATTATTAAAGAAATTAGCTAAGCCCTTTTACTTTTGTTAATAAAATAGACCTCGATTTAGGGTCTTTTTAATATAGCCGAAAATATAATCGAGTGTTTAAATATACTTGATAGTTAGATTAGAATTATAATGTATAGTAAAGTAGGTTAAAAAAATTAAGTTTAGTCGTGTTTAATTTATTAAGAAGTTAAGAGATTTAGATTTACGTTAAAAATTAATCCTTTGGGATTTGTTAACGTCGTCTCTTATCTATTCTAATACCGTCCTAGGTTATATAAGAATCTTTTTATTATATTAATTTTAGAGATCGAATCGTCTTAGGATCTTTTCTGAGTATTTCTTTTAATAAATTAGGATGCTATTAGGCTTTTAGTTAATATATAGTTTAAAGTAGTAAGTAACGGGTCTTTCGTCCTTTATCTTAAAAAATAAGTTTAATTTATCCTTAATTTATTAAATTTAATATTCGTCCGGGCTAATAATTAAATAGTTATTAACTTAGATTCTAAAGATAACTTTTAGAGTTTTATAAATAAAGACATAGCTATTGTATAAATAAACTTTAAATCCCTAACCTCTTAACGTTATAAAAAGTTTATTATACTATGTTCGCGGAGCTTACCTAAGGTTATATAGAGCCTTAAGAACCTTAAATAGAATTCTTTATAGAAGCTTTTATCCTTAAGGAGGCCTTATATATACCTTTTTAACGAGGTCGTTATTAAGAAAAGTAATAACGATATTTATAGAGTGCGTAATCTATCCTAAAATAATAATAATAATAATAATAAAAATATAATAAATTATCGCTTTTATAACCGTTGTGTACGTTTTATTATAATTAATACTTTTTTTTTAAAAGTCGCTTTTTATAATAAGTCTAGCCTTATATTTAGTAATTTTTCTATTTAATTTAATTTTATATATTTAAACCTATTAAGATATTAAGGCTTTAATTTTAGGTAGTATAAAATTTTTATTAATTATTTTAAAAATACCGGACTTAGCGTATACCTTTTTTTTTTATTTTATCGTTTTAATCTATTCCTTTACGTTATATAACCTTATAACTTATTAATAATTAATAAGATCCGGGAGGGTAGACTTATTTATCTTTATTATAACGATATAATAATATAATAAGAAAGCGGCGATGTTGTTATTAATCTCGTCGATTAATATTTAATACTTATCTTTTTTTTTATATTTAATTCCTTTTAAAATACTTTTATAAACTCGCTTCTTTAGATTATTATAATCTCCCCTTTAAAATCGTTAATATTATCGTTAATATCGTTACTATTTCCTATCCAAAAATCTTTATTATTATTATTTTTTTTAAATATAGATAGAAAGTCTAGGACTAGTTTAAAAAGTATAATTTAAGGTAGGGTAGACGGCCCGGTTTATAATATAAAAGATACGGTCTAGATTAAATACCGGGACGGTCGTATATTAAATTAATATATTCCGATATAATTACTACTATTTATACCGTCGTTATAAATTTAAATAATATATCGATTTTTTAATAACGATAATCGATTTAGCGGAAAAGTATATATTATTTATCCTAATAGTACGTATTTAAGCTAAAAGATAATTAGGATTAGCTAACGTAAACTATATTCTAATAACATCCCCGCCAATTAATCTACTCTAAATATATTATTATTATTTATATCGTATTTTAAATTCCGTTATCGAAGTTCGTTATAAATTAATATAAGCTCCTCTAATAAAAAAGGTCGTATATTTAATATTTAAAAAAGAATACTAAATATAATAGCATAAAAGCCGTAAAATAGTCTACTACTCGGGATATAAACTATTTCTTATTAAATTAAAATAGTTTCATTTACTACGTCGTTAATAGCCTTAACCTTCTTAATTTTTTTTAAAATTTTAGTTTTTGTAATAAAGGTTTTTTTAATAAATAGTTAAATCTCGGCTCTTACTATAACTCCTTTACGTACTTTATTAACAATATTAATAAACTTTTCTTAATCTCCTTTAAAAATAGGCTTATTATCTTTACTAATATCATAAGTATTTATATTCTATTTTTTGAAATAGTTAAGGGAATCGTTACGGTAAATATAAAGTTTTTATTCTCTTTTCTTTCTTTTTTTTATATAATAAAAATATAGTTATCCCTTATCGTAAACCGAGTACCTATTCTCTTAATATTTAAAATATTTATATTTTTAAATATTTATATATTTAATCTTCGTTTTTTCTTTAACCGGCTAAACTCTTATAATAAGGCCGTCCTATCCGTTCTAAACGTAATCGACTTCGTTTTTAATATATTTTATATAAGGTCTTTTTTCTTTATATATTTTATTTTTATTTCTATACCGGTTATAACGATTAAACTTTTTTTTAAATCCTTAAGGTACATAGTTAATCCTTTTCGAAGTATAAATATTATATAGCGACTTATTATTATAAATATAACGTCTTTTAAAATATTAGGTATATTTTTTAATAATTAGGACCCCTGTTTTTTATAGTTATTTGAGTAGTCTTTTCTTATTTTTTCGTTCCCTTTCTTACTTATTTTTTAATTTAATTAATTTATAATAGTTTTTAATTTTATTTAGATTAGTAATAATTTTATAGTTCTCTCTTCTTTTCTTCTTATAATATTCGTAATAAAAAAAAGAATTAAAGTATTCCGGATTATATATATTTAAATTAAAAAAGTAGTATAGGCCGTTTTTAATATAATATTTATAGATTTTGTCGCTATACTAAAACTTAATCTAGTTTTTAAACTATATCGAACTCCGACCGTTTTTTTTAATTTTTTTTTTTTAATAATCGTTCGTTATTATTTAAAGTTTATAGTTCCTTATCCCTATTTAAAAAAGATAAGCTATCTTTTTTATTATAGTTATTACGTAGCTTTTTAAAATTCCGAAAAGTAAATGCCGAGGTATTAATAAAAAAAAAGGCCTTTCGTTTTTAATTACCGTTAGAGTTCTTATTTAATAGCTATTATTAATTATTTTATATTAATTGTGAGTTAAATGGGATATAATTAAGGGGTTCTTCGTTACGGTTAAGTTATTTAGTATTTTTATTATTCTCTTTTTAATTATTTATTTTGCTATTGTTCGGAATTTAAAATAGTTTATTATTTGGCTAATCCTCCTCCGGTCTTAGCTAGTTAATAAATAAGTCTTATTTTATAACTTCCTTTATTTTATTATTAGCGAGTATAAAGTCTTTTATATTTTTATTTTATAAAAGGGTTATATCTTATTACGGGTCGTTAAGTTTTATTCCCTATTAAATTTTAGTTATTCCGATATAAAAAAGACGTTTTTTATTAAGTA